AAAAAAGAATCCTAAATTGTCACAATACCAATAGACTGAATAGCAAGAGCAATCTTGAGAGCAGAAAGAACAAAGGAGGAGGCATCACAGTACCTGCTTCAATATAGACTACACAGGGGTACAGTATCAAAACAGCATGATAATGGTATAGACCACTGGTGTAGGCCAGTGGTGCAGAATAGAGGCTCCAGAAATGAATCTACTCATCTCCAGGTGGCCAGTTTGGCACAGGTGGCAAATACACAGTGTTGGAAAGGACAACTTCTTCAGTAAATGGTGATGGGAAAGCTGGACACCTACATGTGGAAGAATGAGATGAGACCCTCACTGTTTGTCATGTACCAGAATCAGCCAAGAGTGGATCAGAGGCTTACATGTAGGGCTTGACACTACGGAACCACTAGAAGTACACATGGGGAGCGTGCTTCTTGTCTTTGTCCTTGAATTTTCATCTGCCTCCCAATTCCATTCCAGCTGATGCTAGTACTCCTGGGAACACATCTTGAGAATCACTGCCTTAGGAAATACAGTACCTGTGGCTGGTTTCGTGAATTGGGTGAAGTAAAGACCAGGATTTCAAGGCGCACAGACCCTCATGGAATGAGATCGATTTATCCTTAGTGAGTTCTAGGGAATGAATGACTGTCTTCATGGTCATTTTTATTCTTTTCTGTAAATGAGCCTTCAGGATCAGATCTAAATAAAATCTGCAGATAATGTAAAAAACTGTTAGAACTATACATAAATGTGTAAATATCCACCTATTTTATTTTTAATTTTTATCACTGGAGTTGCATATATCTGTTCAAGTTATATAATTATGTGTATTTGTAAACACAAAAGTTTCTTGAGGTATACACATTAGATTGTGGGAATTAGCATCAGAAAGAAAAGCAGAATGAACATCTTAGTTTATGCAAGTCGTCATGTCTGAAATTTTAACGCGAACATGCATTTTATAATGTCCTATTAAATTGTATAATCTAAAGAAAAATAAGATGGCTGAAGTAAATGGTTTATGGGATTCCAGCACTCAGGAGGCTGAGGCCAGCTTAGGCTACATAGTGAGTCCAAAGCTAGCCTGAACTACATAGTGATTTTATTTTAAAAAGTAAGTTTTATTAAACCTAGTTCTGAAAAACTGTGAAAATGTATGTCACCAAGTTTATGTTCATGCCATAGGTTCATTAAGAAGAAAAAGGAAAGGAGAAAGGTGCTATAATTCTTTAAATTCCTACTGTATCATAGGTTCCATGTTGTATAGATTTTTGCATTGATCTTCACAGCTTCTGAAGGTTCGATTACCTGAGGCTCTGTGATATTGAGTGGAATGGAGATCAGTGGCTCTGTAAGGGATGAAGTCAGAATTCACACTTGAATTAATGTAGGAGCCATGTGATTACCATTCTCCATGCGAGGTGTTTCCTAGCATCATGAGTCGATAGAGACATCCTGCTTCATCTGACAAGTTTTGGGAGAGAGAGCTGGAGACCATTGTGCAGGTGCAACTGCCCTGCAGTGTAATCTCATAGCCTGCATAAAGTAAACCTGCTGAGATAAAATGGTAGCTCATTCTGCACTGCGCATTTTGTTTTTAAATTAGTACACATTTGCAGTACATAATGATTATATTCACTGTAGAGGGTCAGTATATGCACACACACACATACACATCTCAATTGTTTTTATGTCCTCTCTCCCTCCCCCAACTCCCCCCCCCCTACTCTTGGTCCCCTTCCCTTTTCCAAAGATCTGGTCGTGACATCTGTCACCACATTGATCTCCAGGGTTGATTTGGCTGGTCTGCCTGACTAGGCAAGTGTTCCCTTTCTCCTTCACTTTTCCACACGTGTCCCTCCTGAAGCTGTACGCTCAGTCTGAGAGGACAACCTTCCACAACAGAGTAGGGCCATTTCCTGGGTCAAGGGTATACGAGTAGTTAGCTCCCCTGCTAGAACCCCCAAACAAACTCTCAAAGTGTGTTCTCATGTCCTTTAACCTTCACAGCTGCCCTAGGTGAGAGGAAGGCATTATTGCTGTTCACATCTCACAAATAAGGAGCCTTGGGAAAAAGAGCAAAATGTCTCAAAATCACATACACAAGTAATGGAGTTTTTTACATGACTCCACAGCCTATCTTCTTAATTAAAGCTTACACTGAATAGTGTTTAAATTTTTTCATAGCTAATTAGATTTTTGAGAAGGAAGAACCAGAAACTATAAGGTTTAACTCCTAGACCAATGCTAGGAGTCAGACCGAAGGTTGTCTGCTTCTTTTGATGTCGAAGGTTGTGCAACATGCCAGCTCTAGGGTGCAGTTTATGAAAAGCCTTCACGTGTGAGTTGAAGTAGCTATGATACCCAGTAAAGTCAGAGTGAGAATCATGCATGTGCAGGCCTGTCTGACCAGCTAGGAGGGCACACCCACTTGCCTGTTAACAGAAGGGGTGGGGTGTGAGTTGGACTCAGGACAAACATTTTGCTTATTTGATCATACAGTGATTACGATAAAAGCTTTAAATTTGATTCTCATATTGGCTCTGTGGCATGCCCCCAAGCCCTCAAATCTGTGGAGGTTTTTTTGGTTGGTTGGTTGGTTGGTTTTGTATTGGTTTGGTTTGGCTTTTTTGAGACAGGGTCTCATTATATAGTTCAGGGCTGACCTTGAACTCACTATACAATACAGGCTGGCCTCAAACTCATGGCAATCCCTCCTGCCTCAGCCTCCTGTATGCTGGGATTGTGTGTGTGCCACCTTGCCTGGATAAATCTGTGGTTTTAAACTTGAAAAATATTACTTCAGTAAAACCCAGTTCCATACTGGAAGTAAGGGAATACCACTTTGAGAATCTTCCAATCTGGAATTCAAACAGAAATGAGAAGGACTTGCAAGGAATTTGCACTTTCATTTTGAAAAATGATTTTTTCTGAACTACTCTTTACTGCCACCAATTATCTCATTAATAAATCTCTATAGTATTCACAGGTATATTCACTCAATATAGAAGTTGGTCATTTTGTAACACTTACAGGTACATTATATCTTCCAAATTTACAATGACATCATTGGGAATTATTCTGAATTTAAATCCAGAAGAAGCTGGCTGTGGTGGGGACACACTTATAATCACAGCACCCTGGAAAGATGGAGCAGGAGGGTTGCAAGTTCAAGCCCAGCCTAGGCAAATTAGCAAGACTCTGTCTCAAAATTAAATAAAAATTATAAAAGGCTGGGGATGTAAAGGTCCTAGATTAATTCCCCAGGCCACACACACACACACACACACACACACACACACACACACACCCAGAAGGAAACTTCTTAAAGAGACGATATTACGAGAGTAAAATAACTGCTTCCTGTAGTAGGTGAGGTTTCATTGTTAAGTGATGAGGAAGACACTGAAATATTTCATATGGTCATAATACCCAAGAGGGCCTTTAAATATCTGAAGTTTACTTCTCACCTTACCACAATCTAGCCAATATTGACCAAATCATTTAAAGTATCTGAACATGATGAATGAGTTTTGTTTTTTTTTCTTCTCTTGGCTATCTAGCATTTTAATTCCTAAAATGTCAGCAGTGCAAGGCAAAGCTCCTCTCAGAGACTCTATTTTGTTTGTTCGTTTGTTTTTGGTACCGGGATCGAACTTGGGCGCTTGTGAGACAGGCGGCGGAACCACTGAGCTAAATCCCCGGCCCTCCGAGATTCTATTTTGCCTAACTTCATTGATCTGTGTGGTTCGAAAGTCACGGGGCTCTACGGAGCCCCGGCAGCTGCTCCCTCTGCTTTTAAATTAGGTCCAGTCGCTCCTCCTGAGCACACGGTAGGCAGTGGTGGGCAAGTCCAGACCCCACACTGGTCCAGCTAAGGGAGCAGGGCTGCCTCTTCACATCAACTGGCCGGCCCTGCCAGCCCTGCGTGGGGAGGCTGAGTCACGGGAGCAGACACAGCTCATCCACTCGCCTTTCCAGTTCCAGCTTCTGCTTCTTCACCCACACCTTCCCCGACTCTGGAAATCAGTGTGGCTTGGCTGCTGAAAGCTCAACTACGAGGAGCTACTGTAAAGATAGAAAAATCTTTCAACTAGTATTTTTTAATTAACTTCCAACACATTTTTTTAACTTAAAATGACAGAGGAATCTTCCTTTCTGGCCAGCTCAGTTCTTACTAGGCCAGGTAACAGCTCCTTATTGCATCACAGACGATTGAACTGGGACGTTCAGTTTATGATGATAACTAGTCCGAAACTCATCATTTTAGTTATTACAGATGATTTAATTACTAGGTATCAGTCTTCTAGAAATCAGTGACTACAAACCAAAGTAAATGTTGTATATGTCTGCTTAATTGAACCATATGGAATGGGCTAAACAATACCCCTAAGCATCACTAAAAATAAAAAAATGTCCTTAAAGTTTGGGGCATTTCACATAAAAGCCACCATAGCTGCTTTTATTCATCATCCAAAGGACAATGATCGCCAAAGCTGCAGAAAGTGACTATAGAAACTCACTGTGTTTTCTTCAGACTTCATATCTTTCTACTCATCTAAGAACTATGAAAAGTAGGGAGGACTGGGAGGAAGGTGCTACCTGTGATCCTTATTACTGGTGGGGAAGAGCAAAGGTTTATGGGCTGTCTCAAATGCATGAATCTGTGGGTTGCATCAAAGGAGGTTTTGCATACTTAGAAGTGGAGTGACTGGTGATTGTAATTTTGTGACTGTGACGGAGAAGCAGGTGGAGCCACATGGTATTGAGACATCATGGGCAATGCTTTCAGCTTGCTCGGTGTTCTATTCCTATCAACTAGGCTTACTTAACTTGTTTCAGAACTGAGGGAAGAAACTGAAGCTAGAAAATAAATGAACAAGTTTTAAACCTACAGATCCTTCTTTTGACTTTAGAGGTAGTAATTATATTGTCAGGGAAAATAAATGCAGATGTTGGACCATGTCAGAAATCCTGTCAACAGCCTGGATTGTTTCACGCAGAGTGGAGATGTGGCTTCTGATTCTGGTGGCACATCTGCTTCAAAGAAATGTGAACTCAGGACACTTGCCAACTAAAGCTGTGGACCCCGAAGCATTCATGAATATTGTAAGTTGGGGTTTTCATAACATTATGGGGAGGTGAAGAGCCTTCGATGTTAATGTTCACATCTGCATTGTATATTACATTTATCTATGGTTATGATTCATCCTAGGAGAGTATCCTAATAAAGTATCACACTGGACTGAAGGAATGCCAATCTGGGGGCTAGCAGATCTTGAGGCTGCTCAAGCAAATTAAGTAAATCTGAGTGAATGATTGAATCCCTTTGAGTTTCAAACACCATTTAATTTTTCTTTGAACTCTTAGGTTAATCCTATGCGCAAGAAATAATTGAGGTAATTTGGGCCAATTTAATATTCTTGATTATTTCCATTTTGTCTGTATTTTTTCTCTTTTCCTACTTTCTCCTGTATTATGAAAGTATCAACCTTGACTTGGTGTTTTCGGTGCACCCACCCTTAGTGTTATCTGGGGCTATTCTAATCTGCTCAATAAAAGGACACAGAGTGCTGAAGAAGGACTCCTATGAGTAAGATGTATGGATGCTGATACATCCGTGTAGGTCTCCTGGACAATTTTTATTGGTGGATGGTAGAACTTACTTTCCAATTTTAAGCTGGCTTTTCATAATGGCCATGTATAGTAACACTTATCCCATAGTACACACTGTGATAAAATCTGCACAGATACTATTTCATTTCGTCTTCTATGATCATTTACATTTTTCAAATTAAATAACTGGGATTAAAGAGGTAAAGCAAGTTAAACAAGGTACTGTGCTGGTACATGGTGGAGCTACAATTTAAATTCAGGCTTGCCTAAACACAAAGCCTGTAATTATGATCATCATGCAACAAACCCTCCCAGCTGAGCAGGAGAGGTGTGATGAGAAAAACAGCTGTGTGCTAAAGCCCTTGCTCCCGTACTTATCTAATACCTCACAGGAGGAAGGTTTTGTTTGGCTATTTGTGTTACTCTGAGTAGAAGCCAGGGCCTCCTGCATACTAAGCAATCGTTCACCACTAAGCTACGTCTCAATTTCTTCAAGTTTAAGATTCTTTGTACAGAAGCTTCTAGAACAGGCTACTGGGGAGGGGCTGATGCAGAAGGATTGCAAGTTCAAGGTCTACTTGGGGAATTTAGGGAGACTATCTCAAGGAAAAAGAAGAACAATAACAACCTCAAAAAGCCATTGAATTGGGCTCTGCTCTTGATCAATTAATTACCAGGCAAGGGAAATAGAAAATTCGTAAAATTATTAGTGTCAATTCAACACAGGGTCAGAATCGATTCTGACTTTGTATGCAGATACACATGGATTAAATAGTCTGTCCTTTGCTCTGGTATTCACTCGTGTATATTTTTAACAGGTGTTTATTGAACGCACAGGTGTTTATTGAACCCCTGCTGCAGTGCTATGAAGCCACAGAAAGATGTAAAAACAGTCAGGAGTCCTGGCTTAATGAAACTCACAACCCAGCAGGAAAGACAAATATTCATTTCCTAAGAATGGTAATGATGAGATGAAAGAAGAAATCTGAACAGGAGGAACTAACCTGGGAAGCATAGGAAAGTAATTTTGCAGTGTGATTTCTTAGCCTGAACTCTGGAGGATGAATACGGGTTCAGTACGACTGTGGTGGCAAGGGGGTCAACATGTGAGGTGACTGCGGCGGCTGAGGGCTTGCTGTGTACTAGGAGAGCAGAGGTAGGTTAGGGTCAGTTGACTTTTAAATTGAGATTTTGTTTCTTTGATATTGCCATAGTAATGTGTGTTCATCACATAAAAATAGGAGAAAAATGCAGGGGACCATAATCACTAATATATTCTATACCCAGAAGTAACCACTTATAACTCTCATGTGCACTCTCTTGTTCTTTTTTTTTTATTTTAGAAGTTTAATATTACAAAAATAGTTACTTTATGCACATACATCTAAATATAAGAATGGACAAATCAGGACTCTAAGAAAAGGCAAAAAAGGAGGGGAAAAATACTTTTCCTCAAGTGTTCCAACTTTGTGATCCTGGGTATATTTCTGTTCTGACTTCTGGTTCCTTGAGAGTTCAGAAAAGCTAGAGTCCATCTTTACTTCATCTCAACTTTCTGTGGGCACCGCCAAGAAAATTTACTTTTTGTTTTGTTTTGTTTTTGCTTTTAATTTTTTTAATCTTATTGAGTTTATTGGTACATTTTAGGTATACAGTACAGTGACATTCATCATTGGGATCTTGTACCCTTACATGACAGATCTTGGCTCTCATTTTTTTTAGAACATTTACTTTTTATAAATTGCAGGTGAGGGTTATTCAGCGAACTGCAATCCCAGCGCTATGGTAGGTGAAGGCAGGTAGATCTCCAATTTGAGCCCAGTCCAGGCAATTTGTCAACTTATCAAGGCCCTGTCTCAAACAAACAAACAAACAAACAAACAAATGAAGGAAACAGAGTTGGGGATCTAGCTTAGTTCAAGGCCCGGGGTTCAATCCCCAGTACTGAAAAGTTATTCAGTGAAGCCCTTGGAAAATATTAGAGAGCACAGATACATTCATGCCATTCAATTCAGTTATTATTATTGTTGTTGTTGTTGCTGTTGTAATTGTTATTATTTTGGTGTGGGGATTGAACTCAGGACCATATACTTGTGAAGCAGGAGGCAGAACCACTGAGCTAAATCCTCTGCCCCAACTCAGTAATATTTAAGAGATATTATTCTTTATTCTAGGCCTAGAACTTATAAGAGATGTATGGCAATATCTCATTGTGGTTTTTTTTTCAGCTTTAATTGAGTTTATTGGTACATTTTAGGGATACAGTACAGTTACATTCATTGTTGGGAATTTGTACCTCTACATGACATTGTCCCTGCCCTCCCTTCACCCCCTCTTCCCCTCCCCATCTACAAACACTTTATTTCCATCTTTTCATTCTCTCACATGTTTTTCTTTTCCCTTATTACCCTTCCCCTACCCATTCCACCTTCCCTACACCTTTAGCTCCTTTCTCTTTTGTTCCTTTAAATCTATGGATTTTTTCTGTCTTCAAATACAGAATGCTATGCAATAATTTACTGTTTTCCAAGGTTTTTTTTTCTACTTAATGATACATACCATGAAGAATTTCCCAAAGTTTTACCTAAGCATATCTCTTCAGCTTCCCAAGTTATGTTCCATTTTGAGGTGTTTATTCTTGTCCCAGGTTGGGGAACAGACAGACTATACGACAGGACTCACATGCAGAACGTTTATTAAGGAGAACCTTCAGAGACTAATGTGGTGGTGCATGCCTGTATTCCCAGCCACTGGAGAGGCTGAGGCTCAAGACCAGGATGAGCAAGAGTGAGAGACCTCGTCCTGTCTGTCCGTGGAGGAGTGGGAAAGAAAAGGGACAAGGGGGAGGAGGAAGGTCAGAGAGCGCCCCCATGGGAAAGAACCAGGAATGAAGCAGGAGCTGGTAAATGAACAAGGCTAGTCGCAACTCTTGCCTCTCAACACCAGCCTCAGCAAAGCCTACCGGAGCTGTGCAGCAAGAAGAGTCCTTCAGAGTTTGCAAAGCCGGGCTGAGATAACAAGTCTTATACCCTAAATAAAGCAATCTCTGGACATGGCAAGAAAGGACGTGACCTTGGAGCCTGTGGCTCTTCATAACTGAGGCCCTCTCCAAGGAGGTGACAGCAGCTCAGTTAGACAGCACAAGTCCTTCCCTCAATGGGATCTGGGTGGAGCTTCTCAGCATCCACCCCAGGATTTATTTAATCACTCTCCCATACAGTTCTTTACTATTGTAAATAACACATCCATACAGATATGTTTAAATACAGATCTGTGTCTGTTTTTCTTTAAATTTTCAAGGGTGGATGATGGGATTAAAAGTCAAACTTTTTTTATTTTGGGAGGTTTTGGGGGAGTGAGACAGGGTCTCACTATGTAGTCCAGGCTGGCCTTGGAGTGCTGGGATTACAGCACCCAGCTAGACATTAAATGCAACTGTAATGTGAAATTTAAAACAAAATGTAAGAGTTGAATATGATTATGCAAACTTGCAAGGTCATAAGCAATATCTTACCCTTTAGAATAAGGTGGGTCTATATTTTTATGCCTGTCAATTTATGTACTGCTATTATCCTAATAAACTGTCCTGCCAAATTTACTGTGCTGACTATCCTTAGACAATGTTCACTGAAGCCGTAGTTTTCTTTCTGGAATGTCTATGCCTCTAATCCCCTCCTGCTTGGTTCTCTTAGGTAACTCCTATTCAATCCTCAAGTCTCAGTGTCTCCTTCCTCCACAAAGCCCTGCCCACTTTGTCCTCCCTGCTCAGAATTTCTTTACTTCTTCCTCATTCACTTCCTCCAGCCCTCACTTGACACATTACATAGTCTCTCAGTAACAGTCAGATGCCCTTGATTCTTGAGTTTGGTATATTTATCTTGTGCCCAAGCCCTCACCAAGCAGTCCACAACACAGAGTCCTGAAGAATAGTCCCAGCATCAGCAGAATCAGCATCATCTGGCAATCTGTTAGAAATGGTGAGCCTTCAGGTCCACCCGCTCTACTATATCAGAAAATTTGAGATTAGAGTCCAGCTTTAACTAGCTCTGTAAGTAATTCTGATACTTGCTGGAATTTTTTAAAAGTTAAATATGCAAGGGCGAGGGGTTTAGCTCAGTGATTCGGTTTCCTACTTTGCAAGAGCAAGGTCCAGAGTTAGGTCCCCGGTACCAAAAATAAACAAAGAAATAAATAAAATTAAGTATGCAGTGGTTGTCCCGCACATGCACACACATGCACATATGCACACACTTACACTATATTCCATAAGACTTGCTTAACTGGGTTTTATTTACAGAGGCAGCCATGGGACCTGAGAGCTTTCCTCTTAATGACTGTACTCTGTTGTCCTGTATTCTACACTAAGTTTTGAGCACCTAGATTTCTCCTCTTTCACTCTTATCAGTAGCCTCTGACAGTGATAGTTTCTTATCTGGATGAAAACTGTGCAAGAACTGTGATGATGCCTAGGACAACTAGGCAACTTCCTATTTTCCAAAGAGTTTCTACATGTGTCAACTATATGAGGTGGAGATTTTTAACCCAAGGGTCATATATAGCCAACAAGTAATATGAAACTTCTGAAATTGTATGCAAATGTGTTTTTGTGTGCCCACACTTATATCCATTTTCATGTTCCTCCTCAAATTCACTGAGGGATCTTTAATCGAAAAATGTTAAGAACACTGTTCTTGAGTCTATTTTAGAATTGAAAGTGTCTTAGGGAAGGCATGGCCAGGGACTCGGGTAAGTTGTCCTGAAACAGGTGTCCTGCTGGCTGCATTAGGATCACCTGAACTCAGACCTCAAGTGGCTCAAGAATCTCTACAAGCAAATGTCCTGATGCCCACCCAGGTTTTGGGGTTAGTGTTCTGGTCCAGTGTTTAGCAAACATTAGAGCGCATCAGATTTCTTTATCACGCTTGTGGAAACACAAATTGCTGGGCCCTAGCCTCGGAGTTCCCAGTTCAGCACCTGTGGTGCAAGTGGGATAAAAAGCATTTCTAAATAGTGCCCAAATGATGCTGATGGTTTTGGCCCACACTTTAAAACCATTGTCCTAGTCTGGTGTCCATATTAAAAATAGAATAAGTCAGGGAGTAAGGGGAATAGCTTAGTGGTGCAGTGCTTACTTAGAATGTGTGAAGCCCTCCGTTCAATTGCTAACACCATTACAAAAGACGTGAAGACTGGGCTGATTCTCTTGGCTGGTTTTTCTAAGATAACATAATTAGTTGGGGAAAAGCAAAGACTTTCTCATCTATGTCTTACGGCAAGCATCGAGGAATCTATACTTACTTTTAGATTGCTAAGAATATTGCCAAATAGAGCTGATCTCAAAAGAAATTGCTTTTTCCGCAGAGTGAAATCATTCAACATAAAGGCTATCCCTGTGAGGAGTATGAAGTTACAACTGAAGATGGGTATATCCTTTCTGTTAACAGAATTCCTCAAGGCCTAGCACAACCCAAGAAGAAAGGTATGATTTACCCAGTGTCACCCCAGCACAGCAATTTTCCTACAACCATGACTTCCGTATAATTTCAGTGTGTTTAGATTCTTTTTTTATTTTAATGGAATCCAGGACGTTGTGATTGCAAAGTAGGTGGCTGCACCACTGAGCTAGTAGTGGAAAACATGCTAAACATATGTGAGCTTCTGGCTTCAATCCCCAACACTACAAAACAAACTTCATGAAAAATCCACCTCTTGACTCCTGTGCCACTCAACCTTTTCCAAAGCCTCTCCTACATATTATATACATACATACCTGTATTCTAGGATATTCACCAACGATGCCTTGAACACACCCACCAATGCCTGCTCATGAAGAATACAAACACCAGTTCAGAATCTGATCCTCACGACTGCTCCTCATCCAAAGAATACTTTAAATATTAAGGCATTGCCTCACTTTTCAGTAATGCCTTTTAAAGAACCAGGCTCCATCAGCACATTTTAAATGTTTGATACATTTTAAATGGCTTTGTAATTCCACTTTTAAATATGTAAGATTCTCAGTGAATACTGGTTCATAAAATTCATTTTCATTACTAATTAAAGTATTCTCATCTCCCATTTCCATTTGGCTCTAAACTTTTTAATTCTGTAGCTCCTTGTTTGTAGCAGTGGCTACATTCTCTTTCATGCATACAGGTAATAGAATTTCTTTTGTTCTTTCTATATTCCAAATACAGTACTCATTGCTTTATTTTCATTAGTCTCATTTTATTTTCACAATAACCCTAAGACATTACCACTCACCGTGGTTATGTAACTGGTCTGGAATGTCTGTGCTAGTGCTTGCCAGTATGTTGCACTCAAATCCAGATCTGTTTGCCACTGTGGCTCATGTTCTCAACTACAGCCAAAAAGTGCTGGGTAAATGCTATTGGCCTTTGGTGTGAAGAAGCTTCAGGATTCAATATTGTTTCAGTCTGTACTCATGTAGCTTTTCAAAGTCAACCTGTACACTAGCTCCACCGCTGTGTCTTCTACCTGCCAAGCATGTTTCTAGCTCAGTGCCTTGAACACACAGTTGTCTCTTTGGAACATCTTCCTTCAGACACCAGTGCATCTTGCCCAGCCCCTTTTCCTTGACCACTGTACAATAACAGCAACCTCTTGCCGCCTATTGATATTTGGCCCTGGACCCTGCTTTCTTACCCTTATAGCACTTAACAGAACCTGATGTGATAAATGCTTGCTTGTTAGTTTATTGTCTGTCTGTGGCCTACCAGAGTGGAAACTCAATAGGAATAGGGACTTCATCTATTTTGACCTCGGCTGTGTATAGTATCAGAAAGAGTGCTGAGCATATTATAGGTGCTACTGAATACTGTATTTGTAGAATGCAAGAATGAATGAATCAGTCAATCAATCAACCAGTCAATTAATTTGGTATAATAAATGAGTAGCCTGGGAATAGAGAGAAGATATTTCACTAAACCTCAAATCCCTGGAGTGGGTGGGTAAGGCATGGATCTTCCCAGCAGTTGATTAAATGCAGAAGTTGCTAAGTACAAGGATTACCTATAGCCCCTATTCACTAATCAAACTTTGTTTTCTTATATCCTGCTGATTTACTATTTTCTCACTGTCAAGTAGCGTTGTTAAAGGAATCAGCCTTTTAATGCAGTCACTGTGGAATACTCCCTTCTAGTGGCTGATATTGTTCCTGCAGCTGTCCTTTAACTTCAATCGTAGGGCATTTAATGGGATACTGATATAGTGCATTACAGTAAGTTCCCAATTTAGGAATGATTTCCATTCTGGGAGAATGTTCATTCATAAGTCAGATTTGTTGGTAGGTGTGACAAAGTGAGTCTTATACGCCTTTGATACAAATATACAATGTAAAGCATAAAAAACACAAAATACTGTACATAAACTATTTTTACTTTTATAGCTACCTTAAATAGTGGCACAGTACAGTACAAGAACTGGCATCTAGGGGATGTGTGGAGTGAACTGACAAGCAGAGAGCTATTATCTGGAGGAGAAAGGGAGGTGGGAGATTATGGAGCAACATCTACCATCTTTTTGCTTTGGTCCAATCTCTTGATAAGTTTCACCTTTGTTTCTGTAGTTATTGCTTTGTGCTTCACGGCAGTCCCCTCCACTTCACCACCCATTTCCCCTGGCTTTCAGACTTGTTGGGCTCTGACTGAGCACTGAACTGCTGCACCCTGTGGCACTGCGCAGTGAGTGCATGTTAACAATTGTGAGTGTCTGGCAGACAGAGGAGCTGCTCCACTGTTTGTTTGCATCTGTGAATGTTGGTAATGGGAGGTCTGTTTGTATCTGTGAAAGTTCAGAACTCATATGTTTGAAAGTCAGGGACTTACTGGACTGTAATTTTATTTTGATGATCAAAATTTCCTATACTGAAAGGAATTCCTTTCAATTTAGTATATAGGTTCGTTTAACATGGAGGACCTTTAATCATTGCATCATTTTGTATATGTGTGTTTATATAGTCAGATATTATATTAAGGTATTTTTTGTATCTATTTAATCTTAATAATGCTAGTACACACTCTACTGGACAATTATTTTCTTTCTCTCTCTCTCCCTTTCTCTCTCTCTCTCTCTCTCTTTCTTTTTTTGTACTGGGGATTGATCCCCAGACCTTGTGCTTATGAGGCAGGTGGCAGGACCACTGAGCTGAATCCTTGGCCCTCTACTGGACAACTTCTAATACTTTCTGAGGATCCTAGACAAGTTCCCTAGTAATAATTACACAAAAACAATGAAAGCCGTATTGTTTTGAATCTTTTTTTTTTTTGCTAAGCATTGTGCTGTTACTTCTGATCTTTTAAAGCCAGAAGAAAAATCAAATTTCACCACTGATGAGGAAATTAAGATACAAAAATGTGAAATAATTGGTCAAGATAATCCAGATAGAAAATGGCTGAATCAAGATTTGAACATGGGCTTGACTGACTTGAAAGCCCTTGCAGGTTATAAAATAACAAGAAAGGAGAAGGACAAATCATACAATTGAACACCTCTCATGTCTGCAGGTTCCAGGCCGGTGGTGTTACTGCAGCATGGTCTGCTTGGTGATGCCAGCAACTGGATTTCCAACCTGCCTAACAATAGCCTGGGCTTCATCCTGGCAGATGCTGGTTTCGATGTGTGGATGGGGAACAGCAGGGGAAACACCTGGTCTCGGAAACATAAGACCCTCTCCATAGACCAAGATGAGTTCTGGGCTTTCAGGTATATGAAAATCTTGAGATCAAAGTGGGCGTGAAGGTCTTTGGAAGGAGTGGGTAAAGAATTAGGGCTTCAAGTATTTGGATAAGTTATTTTGTTTGTGTTATCGATATCCTAACATGATATTCACCAATTTTGCCAATTTGCTAGAGAGTCTTTGGGGGTAGTATAGGGAATATTGGGCTTCCCATATTGAAGGTTGGATGTGGCTAATGAGGTGTGAATGGTAGTTGGCATCCAGTGATTGAGACTGGACTATGAGATGTGTAGACCCATTTCTTTGTAGGTGGTTAGCCTGAGACTAACTCTTCCATGAATGATAAGGGCTAATACCTCCAAAAAAAAAAAAAAACAAAATGAAGGTAGCGTCTTTAAAAAGAAAGAAAATTATCAATTTGACTAATATCTCTCATGGCCTTACAAAAAGTTTCTGTTTTCACTTAAATTATCTATCAGTAACCACCTGCTCTTGATACATTTCATCAGAGAAGGGTTCCTGCTTAATATTTTCCCATAAAGCAATTGGTATGGCCCTCTGCTGCCTGCTAACAGTGCAAGAGGACCCCACCCCTCGGAGGTGGACCTGTACTCAGTATTCACTGCTGATTATCACTCTACGATAGCTTCTGGAGCAAACAGTATCTGGCTGACAGGCCATGACCCCACAGACACCCAAGAAGCTCAGACTTGAAATAGGTCTTTCCTGAGTGTTGTGAGGGGCATAGTAACAAGTTTTCAGGGCCAGCTCCTCAAGCACTTATTTGTAAACCCGGGAAGGGGGTGGTTCTGTTTGTACCTCATTATAATTTTTCATATAACTTTGTCTTTTCCCCTTATAGTTATGATGAGATGGCTAGGTTTGACCTTCCTGCAGTGATAAACTTTATTTTGCAGAAAACGGGCCAGGAAAAGATCTACTATGTCGGCTATTCACAGGGCACCACCATGGGTAGGTTCAAAGGAAATCCGGTTTGTATACTCAGGAGAAATGTGAGCCAAAGGCACCAGCTGTTCCTTTGCCAGTCATCTCATGCTTCTCTCAGGTCTGGTTTTTCTCCTCTCAGTGACTCTAATCTGAGAGAAACAGGGATTGAGGGAAGGTCTGTGGTGTGGCAGAATGAGCTTGGACTCTGATGAGGATTTAAAAACTGTCTTTGCCACAATTAGGTAAATATCCTTGAGTAAATGCTTTAGCTCCCCAGTCTGTTTCTTCATCTACAAAATGGGGATACTCATGCTCTCTTAAAGGTGTTAGAACTGTCTGGACTAGTTCATATTATAAAGTATGTCAAGTCTGTGAAGGCAGGGATTTCATCTAAGACACAGCTGTAAGAGAAGTTTCTGGTGCAGAGTATGCACTCAGTATATGAGTGAATCAATTAATGAATGAATGAAGGCCTGAGTTCAGCATCTGCCACATGATAGATAACCAATAAATAGAGTACGGCCATCATATTAGAAGCAGAATTGATGGAGTTTCCATAAGTCTCCTTTCCTGCTAATGCCAGTGTCTGGAATTATGCACGGGTGCCCTTTTGCTCTGAGTGAATATATAAGATGTTAAATGAAGGCCCAGTTGCAGCTTGGGGTGGTGGTGGATGTAGATTGTGCCTCTCCTGTCCCTGTATCAGACTGAAATCAATAGGAAAAGTATTCATGGCTTGGATTAGGAGGAAGAAAGATCCTGAGAGGCACAGTGTGTCATAAGGAGGAGGCTCTTTGGGACTAAAAAGAGCTCTTTGTTTTGCCCTGAGACCAAGCCCTGAGTTAAAGGACAAGGCTGGAGTCTAAAAAGAAAAGTGAGAAATCACTTATTGCAAGAAATATTCATTCTTTAAGCAGCACAGCTGTGTTGTTACCAGGATATGTTTATACTCATGAATATGGAAATAGTTTTGTAAACAGTTTAATTTTTGTGAATACCTTTGCTACCTGTGGTTTACTGCCATCTTTATATCAGTCCCACTTTCATAATAAGAAATGGTTTTTATGAGCACCTAACAATGCCAGTCAGTATAACTGAATCATTTTGCTTCATCTCTGCACAAGATATGAGGGAAAGATTAGTAACTGTATTTTACAGATGACTACATTGTAATTAGGGGGCCGCTAAGTAAGACCTGTACTGATGAACTCAAAGCACTTGCTGAATAACTACTATACAGTGAGATCTATAAGTTGAGTAGAAACTATACACACACATTCCTCAATTCTTATCAGATTCTTACTACTTCCACCTCCAGAGTTAATGGAGATGATTGTGACAAATCCTCCCCAAAAATCCAGAAGTAGATTATCTCTAAATTTTGTTGTCAACTAAAAGTGTTGTGAATTCAGGACAATAGTGGGACAATCTTGGCTAGTTTTCAGTGAAACGATGCTTATTGTTCCCTTAAATCCTAGAACAGGTTAGGGCATCAGTCCCAGCCCTTTGGCTTCTGAGACCTCACTGCGCTGTCACTTGGCTATGGGTACTGACTTGCCAAGAGATTTGCTTCTGTAAAACTTTAGAGTGATTATTAAACACTATCACCAAACCATAAATTTGCCTTTTACTAGCTCCTATCTCCTAGAACATAGTAGCCACTTTCCCTCTCCCTGAAATTTCTCAGGTATAAGCTCTGTCCTCAAGCAAGTAGGGAAAATAATGTACTTAAAGTACTTGCTTTGAGGAATATTGAGGGAAAAGAAGCTAGAATCATTAGGGAAAATCCAATGTCCATGGAAATCCAACATGTTCTAGGAGGCGCAATAACAAATAGGTTGACTTTCTCCTGCAAGTTGCTCAGCCCCAGCAGCAAGGATTCCAAGGAGAGAGGCTAAGACTCATGGAAAAGCTTAAACTACACGTGGCTGGAGCCTCTAGCCAATGACCTTTATTATAAAGCAGATAGCACATGTAGTTTAGCACACTAGATCAACCTGTCTCCAAAGAAGGTAAATGCAGCCAAATAACTGGTTATTTTTGTTTAATTTTCCTGCTTTGATTTTGTATAAATGATAACGTTTTATATAAATAGACACTGTCAATATCTATTGGGGATAAGTTAATTCATTGAAGCTTTTCTTGGTATTAATCATGTCACCAAGGGCTCTTTTCCTATAAAAATTCCCTAGAAATCACTTATTATCATTATTCATAGTGACGTTATGCCAAAAATAAAATTGAGGGGCCGAAGATTTAGCTCAGTGATTCCTCTGCCTGCCTGGAAAGCACAAGTTTCCAAGTTTGATCCCCAGGACCAATTAAATTAAATCGTGAACCAGGAATGCTAATGGTTCAAGAATTATGGAGACTCAGGCCATTGGTTCAGTTGGCTCCTTTTTACTGATGCTTTTTAAAGAATAAAATAAATCTAACTTTTGCATGTTAATTTCTTCATTTTATATCACATTAGTAACTTTAGTGACACTAGCTCTCACCATGCCCTTCACAGAAAGGTTATGGTATTGTACATCTGCTTCTACCCTAATATGCAAAAATCTTTTTAAAAATATTGTGTCTATCATAAGTTGTTCAACTTGATATGAAAACAAAGGTGCTAATGATGAGGCTAGATGCAGTTTTGAGAGGAAGGAAAGGATACAAAGGCATGAGTCTTCTGGCTATAAACCGTGGAGCTAACAACACGGAGAAGTTTAGTGTGCTTTGCATGAAGAGAATTATTGCTGGGTGTGTGATATAGCGTTTTCAAATCTTGGCATTTGAGGGAAGTTTTAATCTGGTCAGAATTAAGCTACGATATAGTTAATGTATTTTAAACCTTTTCTTTTTTATTCGTTAAATTTATTGATATATTTTTAGCTATACATTTACCATTTGTACCTTTACATAATATATCTTGGTTCTTATTTTTTTCTCCATTCCCCTGCCCTCCTTTCAACCCCTCCACCCCTCTCTATTTACAAAGACTGTTTCTGTTTTTGGCTTTTCTCGTATTTACTCCTTTCTCTTCTTTCCTTTTCCCCACCCCACTTCTCCTTCCCCTTTGGAACTTTTATTTCAGATTATCTATTATACATTTGGATCCTTATTTACACTTTCAGTTTCTCACATCAGAGAAACTATTCAGTGTCTACATAGGTTTGTCTTATTTATGTATTTTTAACCTTTGCATGCTGAAGCTATAGTTGGCAGAGCAAGAGGTCCTAACAAGTCACTCCTGGGCTTGTCTTTGCATATGGCAGGTGCATCAACTCAGATGCAGGAAAAAGCAGAGAAGAAATGAGTGTTCCTCAATACTCACCTACCTTCTGGGAACTGATCAGAAGTTACATGATTCTGCTTATCCCTCCTTCCCATCTTTCAGACTCCAAACATCAGCCTAGACTGAGTATGCAGGCTTAAAAAAAATAGATTCAGAGCATGATATTTCAAACATAATGACCATGCCCTGACTTTATGTGATAGTCCTATTCTGCTATAGGCTCCACCAATACCTACCCCGAACAGTGGTATTTTGGTGAATTTGTGTTTCAAATCCATAGGAATAGGAACTGAGTTACAGACTGACTAAGATTTGGCAAGTCTATGGAAGAAATAAGAACTGAAATTCAGTTTAGTCAACCTAGTTTAGTCTCTGTGTTATAATTTGTATTCCAGAAAAGTTAAGGATGAAGTAAAACCAGCCAAAAGCCTGCTGACCCCACATACGGTGTTCATGGGAAGGTGTCTACCATGTAGTTGTCTCTCAAAGTTATGAGATTTTTTTTCTTAAGGTCAATATGATTGTATTAAATAATTTAAATATGATTGCATTAATTTATTTAATCAATGAGACTTACCACTTGAAAGCAAATACAGGAGGTATCATAGGAAACACAGAAAAGCTTTTGCTGTGATTCCTCCTCCACACGCCAAGAGCTTATAAATTTGTAGGAGAAGAGATATGACACACTCTATAAGTGAATATTAAAATATTTTGATAAAAGTAAAAAATAGTTTATGATTTCTATGATATTCAGTATCCATGCTGATATATTTTTCTCTTACAGGCTTTATTGCATTTTCCACAATGCCAGAGCTGGCTCAAAAAATCAAAATTTATTTTGCTTTGGCCCCTATAGCCACTGTTAAATATGCAAAAAGCCCTGGGACCAAATTTTTGTTGTTACCAGATATGATGATCAAGGTATGTGACAACTTGGAGAATTCTGTGTATAGATAAAAGTCTTGCAGCCTGTTTTCCTAAACCATATACTTTTAAATGAGTCGTAATTTTTAAGACTACACTGTAATGACTACTGCTTTACATCATATTTTCACAGGGGTTGTTTGGAAAGCAAGAATTTCTGTACCAGACAAGATTTTTCAGACAGTTTGTTATTTACCTTTGTGGCCAGATGATTCTTGATCAAATTTGCAGCAATATCATCTTACTTATGGGAGGCTTTAACACGAACAACATGAATATGGTAAGTGGGAGCTTGGTAAATTTCCAGGTTCCTAACTAAGCTAGGAGTTACTAGATTCATTCCTTAGAGGACCGGTGAAGATCTAGAAAAATGATGTGCACCCAGCAATGTTTAATTTCCAAATTGAAAGGAAATATTGGAAAGGTAAACAATGCTAGATATTAACATCACAGATTATAGATGGAAGAGGTCTGAAAACCTATAGTAAATTGAAAGAAGAAAAAGGAGATTAGAACCTGGTAGATAACAGAGAGAACTTTCCAGTGTCATCCACCTCTCCCCTCAACCCAGTCTCTTTGGTTGTAGTTTAAATTCTTTGATGGAAAGTCTTGGAGCTTCAGTTTGGCTTAGGCACAGCTATGAGTTTGTGAGTGTCCCCAGGGGGGCCCTGTGGGATTCAAACTGTCATGGGGAGGTTAATGCACAGAATGATTTGGGGTTGTGTTCTTGAAATAATTGAAGAAAAGGAAACAGGATTTGGTAAAGGGAAAAGGCTTTGATACACGCCAACAGTCCTACAGGGGTTTGTGAAGATGGAGTGACCCTTTAGAGCTGTCCCAAAGTAGAAGCAGGGCTGGTCTTCATACCCTCGTACCTACCAGTCATTTAATGCAGGTCACATCAGTAATGAGGGACACACTGGGCAGCATCTCACTGCCGCCTGGGTGACTGCTCTGAGGTCTGGCAGAAGGAGGAACATAGCTCTAACTCCTAAGGATTTCCTCCTCTCTATTAATACTTTGCCTTGGTAGGCATTTATTATATTCCAGACCAATTTATATCTCATAACAAGCCTATGATACACTGAAAATATATCAATATCACCCAATTTACAGATTAGCACACTAAGACTTAATGGATTAATAACTCTCCCAAACTCACCTAAATATTAAATAGCAGGGAACTACTCTCAATTCCAAAGACTTTATCCTAAATATATCTAGTAAAGCTTTTTAAATAAATAAGTCAGATACCTAATGAGAAGCTATTCTCAAATAAAATGAAAAATATAGGTGAGTAGAAATAAATTTAGTTTCTTTTTATTTACGAGCCTGTGTATGTTACTATTTCATAGAAAATTGCTGACAATTCGATGACGTTCCCATCCCATAGTCTGACACCCTGGAGATTTGGTTTTGGTAAAGTGCACATCCTGTGAGTTTTTCTTGTCCCACAGACCACTCATGCTTTGTTACAGAGCCGAGCAAATGTGTATGTTGCCCATTCTCCTGCCGGAACGTCTGTGCAGAATATTCTACACTGGAGCCAGGTAAGAACATTGAATTTGCTGTCTTTTCTAAGAGTCCTTGCACATTTTGTCTGAAACAGTCAAAGGACACCTTTTTGAGGTACAGAGCTTTGTGTTTATTTTGAGATGAAATGCAATCTGATCAACTGTGCACTTGATCTCAGTCATCGATACTTTTGAGGAGATGAGAGGGAAGAACAAGAGTGGCCTAAGGATATCTTTAAAGTGGGTCCTATAAGTAAAATGGTCCAAGTGAGAGCTGTTTCTGTCTGCAGCCACCTCAAAGATGCTCCTGGAGGAAATTATGTTTCCATATTCTCCATTGAAGGATCCTCCAGAAGCCGGAGAAAATAGAAAAAATAAAAATAATGCTAATGTTGCCCTAATTGTCCAAAGAGATTTTCACAGGAGTCCCTTGTGCTGTGATCTTGGGAGAGAAATATTTGTGTGTGTGTGTGTGTGTGTGTGTGTGTGTGTGTGTGTGTCTGTAGGAGTGTGATCAAAACAAAAAAATTTTAAATTGAATTAGATATTAGATTTTGGTCATCTTCCAGGATCACCACTTGGCACAATTTCACAGAGCACTTTCTCATTACAGCCTCTGGAACTGTGCCAAGTATGCATTCACAAGGATGCACTTTCTGGAACTGACAGTATGACGATCACGTTTGTCGTCGATTTTCTTCCTGGTTCATGCCTTTGCACTTATCCCAGGGAGAGAAAAAGCAGCTCAGAGAGCTTTGTTCTCTGCTTTACCTGACAATTGAATATGTGGTAGCACATTCCTGCCACCCCAAAACCACTTTTGAATACTTCACAAATGTTTTTCTTCTTGTAGGCAGTGAATTCTGGGGAACTCCGAGCATTTGACTGGGGAAGTGAGACCAAGAACCTGGAGAAAGGCAATCATGTAAGAAAGTCAAATACGACCCACTGCAAAAGTATCCTCTGGAAATGTGTGAGAGGGAAGTCACAGGGCTAGGTTATTCTAGGGATGGAAATAAAATGTAAAAATTGAAGCCAAGAAATAAAAGTTCTGGGTTGACTACATTTGAAAATGCGAAGATTCACAGCTTAGCCAAGAGAGCTCTCTGTTTCTGTAACAAAATTAGGGGCCGTTTTTGCTGATGGTAACTTTTGAGCAAGAAACTAGGGATCTCAGATGCAAGATTAGATTGATTTACTCCAGGGAAGAGTATATCTATAGTAAATACTAGAAGGATCCTTTAAGATGATTAAAAAGAAAACCCAGACAAATGAAGATATAGGTAGTGAAGTTGTTTTATGGCACCATAAGAACATTAGACAACAAGTGAGTATTATCGGGTTAATCTTGCCTCTTCATTATAAGCTTATATGCAATTATAGGCTACTTTAATTCATCAGGACTCATTTTATATTTAAAACAACTATTGGATTAAAATCTTTGTGTTCTTTCTGATTATACATTTAATCAATCTGTGATTTTCAGGTTAAAAAATTATTACCCTTTAAAATAAGAAGCCAGGGCTAAGGGATACAATTTAAAATAAAAATATAGAGAACTAGAATTGTATAAATATGCTATTTTGAGTGTAAATCTTCCCGCCCCCAAATTATTGACTAGTATGTGTGTGGATGTAAATAAATATTGGTTAAATAAGCAAAGCTACAGGGAGTAAATACAGCATAATCTTTCCGTGAGAGACTCAAATCACACTTAACTCCCAGGGCCATGCATCAACCTAGATACAAAATGCTGGGAAGTTGGACAGACTATGTATGGGGTTGTATGTGAATAGAAAATTTTCAAATGTAGGTATAAACTTCTTTATATATCCTTTTCACTCTTTCCTACAGCATGTCTTTAGAGCTCTACAAAATCTGATCCATGCAGAGTAGGCATGAGAAAATGGGAAGAAAAAAACCAAACATATAAAAAGGCATCATAGAATCATGGCAACTTAGACCTAGACAAGACATTTAGTTCAATCTTTTCATCTGTAAGATGAGAAAAAAAATGTGACTGACTCCATAGGTAAATCCAATCTTTCATATTTAAATAAAGCTTTAAGTCCAAACTCTTAGGGAGCCACAAAGACAAAGATGGCCATCTAACATTGGAACCCAGGCTCCTGGTAGATTTTGTGATTAAAAGAAAAAAATGATCCTCATCAATCCTATAGAAAGTTAATCTCGAGGAGTCAGCCAGACAGGCAAATCTTCCAGTACTGCTTGACTATGAGAGTTTTCAGAATCTAGGAAGCTTACGTGCCCTTTTTGGATGATTAGGGGAGCAGAAACGGGGGATGGAGCAGGTATTTAATTTTGCTGCACTCTGTTTCAAGTTAACTGATGTCAGGCCAACCTGTCTTTGGCCCATGTCTTTGGATGTTCAGTCAAGCCAGGCCCAGCCCAAGGTCTGGCTTAGCCCACCCCAAGGACACGTCCTTGAGGCTCGAGAGGACTTCCTAGTAGGTTCCCTTGCCTTTCTCTGTAGAATATCTCTGATTCTTGCCTTATGAAATGTTTGGGAAATTATCTTTTACACTTACAGGACATAATTTTTAAAGGTAATTTACTTGTAATGTATATAATAGGAAGAAAAATTAAACATTATTCAATTTTAAAGTACCAGGGAGGGGATAGGAATGTAGCTTTGTGATAGAGCACCTGCTCAGCATGTATAAGGGCCTTAGTTTGTTCCCCAGAACCACATATACAAAAAATTTAAAAAGGCAATTTACATGATTTCTTACCGGATCCAAGTAGTTATTACCGATATCATCCCGATTTTACAGATGAAGAAACCGAGGTTCAATCATTTGAAGCAATTTTATCTTAAAGTAGGAACTAGAACAGAAACTCAGGAGTTCTGTGTGGCTTTAGCCTCACCCCCACACACTTTCTTCAATAAATGTATTATTTATCATGTGTATTTGAAACATAAATTATAGTTCTGGAAGTTGAAATGTTATCAGGTTATCTAGAGCTAAAACTATTCTTTTGCTCCAGCCAAGTCCTTTAAGGTACAATGTTCGAGATATGACAGTGCCAACGGCGATGTGGTCAGGAGGTCAGGATTGGCTTTCAAATCCAGAGGATGTGAAAACGCTGCTCTCTGAGGTGACCAACCTCATCTACCATAAGAACATTCCCGAATGGGCCCACGTGGACTTCATCTGGGGGCTGGACGCTCCTCACCGGATGTACAATGAAATCATACATCTGATGAAGCAGGAGGAGGCAAACCTTCACCAGGAAACCTGCAAGGTCTCTCTGTGAAACTTCTGACACTGACAAGACTTAGGAACGAAGTTATGGAAGGTGCGGTTAGGACCAGGAATAGAGCAGAGGGTTTTAAAGGTTTCCACAAGGGAGAACATACCATATCAATCAAAGGGCAAAGGGAGAATACAGTTATATCTTCCTTCTGATTTCTACATATGACACTAGAACTCGATTTACATTTTTTCAGTGAGTTATGCTAAAGTATTAGTTAATACAGTTTTCCTGTGCTATTCTGTCTTCAGCTATTTTTAAAGTTAGTTTTCACCTGACAGCCAGAAAGTACCTAGACATCCTAGGTACTATATCAGTTGGATAAGCCCTCTGCAAACATTAATTTTTTTTCTAAAGCCATGTTTTTGGAGGAGTAAAGGAAAATGACAAGTTGGAGCAGACATTGAGGTCATATATCTCCGGATTGTTGATTTTGACAAAATGAGATGGACATTTCTACCTGGTTGCTGTAGAGTCGGGATACTGCCTCAGGAAGCCAATTTGCTTTGACAACAAAAGAAAATCAACATGTGGCACAGATGAAAATATGTTAAACATCCTCAGAATAGGGCCAAGTTTTACAGTTGGATTGCAGAAAAGATAATTTTGTAGGATATTGATGAGTTTTCCAATAAATGTTATGCATTGCATATAGTATGTTTATGTTATGTCAGTACCTAAGCTCTAGTCCAAGTGTGTTTTGGAGTTTACAACCTCTAGTGAGGAGACATGCTGGCCCAATTTTCTACCTCCAAAAACTAAAATCCTGGAAGAAAATTTTATAATGTCATGAGCATAATGAAATAAATTACCATATGTTTTATCCTTGGATTGTAACAGTCACTTAGACAATTCTCTCTACTCATTCATAAATCTAGATTCATTTCTTCAGAAAATTGTTCAATTTTCAAAGTTTCAAAAATGACAGTTGTAAATTATATGAGTACTATTTTTGCAAAATCTACTTTAAAATCAAGTGAAAGGTATATTATTATGTCAAAGGCGTACCACTAAAAGTATAATGGTTTGCACGGAAGTATGCTGTTGAAGCTATACATGTGTGTAAAATTCCCTGTCCCCCGCTTTTTGGCCCCTAGACATAACAGGAACTAATTTCACTGCTAATGAATCTTAAATAATTTAGAAACACCTAAAGACTTCAGAACCTATGTCTACATACTACTATTTCCCTCAGGATCTTACATAGTTCAATAAATATTTCTAAATTTGAATTTTGTTAGACCTTTGTTCTGTTCTAGGATAGAAAATCTTTCACTCTTTGAATGCATTTCTTATCATATATAGTATGATTTAGCTCATGTCTACAGCTATGACTGGGTTGATCTTGATTCTCAAAATTCATTCAAATTTTTAAAGTATATTTCTGCTCTATACCATTTGTAAAGGAAATAAAATGGATATTTTGGTACTCATTTCTTATTTAATATAATTCAGATTCTATTTTATTACATAATTATATTATATTGTTGTATTTCTTGGTTTTTTGTGGTGTTTTATCCCAATAAGTTATAATATTTTACCAATAAAATTTCAATAAATTTTATCAATAAAAATAAACATAACTGTGGCTGAAAGTACAGTTCAATGCTACAGTGCACTTTTAGCATGTACGAGGCCCTGTGTTCAATTCAGAGCACTACACATACAAAATAATTTAAAATAAAATCAGTAAAACTAACATGTAGTAGCCACTTTGCACTCATAAAAGGATTGTAATTTTCTTAATTTTCAGTGCCAGGGATCAAATGTAGGTCCCTGAACATGCTAAGCATGTAGTCTTCCACTGAGCTATATCCCCAGGCCCATAAGAATACTTTTGAACATATATTTTGATAGTTACATGTCCTGCTGAAACCAAGGCAGTTTCTATTTGTAAATTAATACCAATATTTCTAGTGGGTACATTGGTAAAGCAGCTTTCTAGAAACAGCTTTGCTTTGTGATGTTTGCTAATTTCTGTGGCATAAACACACCCACCTTCAACAACTAATAAATGTTTTTATTCAAGTTGTTTCATCAAAGGCATATTTACATTGGAGTCTCTGAACTTCACACATACACATATAATTCAATTCAAATGTACAGACTTGGATTCCTCCTTTTTATACTTAACGGGACCTGAAAGGAACAGATTTTTCTCCCCAGCATGATGTAGACAAGACTGATCCATTATAAGCCTAACACAACTGGAAAAACAGAATCTATCTCAAATACTCTGTTCCTTTTCTTCAGGAGAGCCTAAATTTGAAATATCATGTTTTTAACAGAGGTTTAATAATTTTCCAAGAACAATTATGGTGAGAGTGCATTCCACTGAGTTAAAAAAAACATTATATATAAAGGCTCTTCAAAAACATTAACCATGGCAGCCATGATTAACCCATAATGGAGGTATCCATGCTAGGGTTGCTCACAGACCAGCAGTCAAAGATGGAATCAGAATTCAGTCCTTTAGCTTTGTCTGTGTCTTCACTTGTGAGGTCACAGGATTATGATGCTTTCCTTAGCATTAATTCAATCTGGGAAAATTTTAGTCTCTGTGCAATGTCCAGTGAGCTCTCACCATGCTGAAGAGATAAAGAAATTACAGTTATTTACCTCCAATAGAGTCAAAGGTCAACACAAATAATCAGTAAAGGTCAGGTTATGGCTCCTTTGGCAAAGCACTGCTCAAAGCCCCAAGTTAGATCCATAGCACAGAAACAAAACAAAATAAAAACCTCAGGCTTCACAAGATCTTTAAATGGTACTCAGTGCTAAAATAATGGGATATTTTCATTGCTTAATGAGGACAATCAATTTCTCTCTTATTCAAATGAAAGGCAACTTAGCTTCAATACAAGACCTAGATAAGAAATAAGATTATGCTGCTAGGAGAACCTCAGACCCTGGCCCAAGAGCCTTACCTTGTCCTTTATCATGGGGTCTGCATGGGCCTCCAGGAGCAGAGGAATGAGAGTCTGGTTTTTCATTCTGCAGGCATAGTGTAGTGCAGTGCAGCCATACTGAAACACACAGGGCCAACCAGGAAGCTCATCAGTCGGGCTCTCCACAAACTTCAACAGGTAGCATTTTCAGCAACCATTGAAGTTTGCAGTGTACAACCGAGCAAAATAGCCTGCTATTTCTAGTACTTAAAAAGGGTTCTTTCTACTTTGATATGGGTATTAACATCCTATAAACCATCAATATCTTCCACTTTCTCATTTTCTATTCCAAATTAAGTAATGCAACTTATGAGAAGCCAATGCTGAATTACATCAAGGTTTGTTAGGGCTGGAGATTTAGCTCAGTGGTTTGGTGACCTGCCTTGCAAGTGCAAGGACCCGAGTTTGATCCCCGGTACCAAAAAAAAAGGTTTGTTTCCAGAATTAGATATGCATGGACAATCAACACCTTGGTCATTTTACCATCTTTTCCCTTAAAAAGTTTCCACATGAGCCTTTTCCTGAATACTGTATTATTCACTATAGTTTTCCATCTCCACAATCTGAAGAAGATGGGTGCTCATATCACCATAGAACATCTATAAGATAATAAGTTTGACACATAAGTCCACACTTAGCTCGTTAGAGTTCATATTATGTAATATAAAATAGTGCTTATATTCCATTAGTTCCAATTTAAAACACTAACTACAGATCAAGTAAACTTATAGTTGGGAGATTTGTGCTCAAAATTTTGCCTTTCAGCCAGGCATGGTGGCACATGCATATACTCTCAACACAAATGAGGCTCAGAAAGAAGAACCATCACAGTTTTAAGGCCAGATGGGGCTACATAGTAAATTCAAAGCCAGCCTGAACTATATAGCAAGACCCTATCTCAAAAAATAATCTTTCAAAAATCAGCCAAGAAAACAATACAGATACCATCTTACTCCAGAAAAAAATGGCTTATCATCATGAAATTAAATAATAACAAACGCTGACAAGACTACAGAATAAAAAAGGAATCTTTCTACATTGTTGGCAGGAATGTAAACTAGTATAATTACTATGGAGATCGGGATGGAGATTCCTCAAAAAACTAAAACTAGAAATTCCATTTGAACCAGTTATTCCCCTTTTAGGTATGTTCCCCAAAGAGTTAAAGTCACTGTATTTACAGTGACACATGAATGCCCATGTTTATAGCAGCACAATTTATATTTTCTTGCAAACAGCCCAGATGCTCATTATAGATGGATGGATTAATAAAATGTGGTATTTATACACGATAATGTATTACTCTGCCATAAAGGAGTAGAAATATGAGTCATTTGTAGGTAAATAGATGAACCGCAAGACCATAATGTGAATAAATCAAGTTTAAATATTTCATGGTTTCTTTTCTATAAAAAACCCAAAGTATAAACAAAGAGCAAAACAAAAAATAGGTAATAGGAAGTAGGGAGATCTTTTTACAGTGAGGAGGAGAGCAATGGAGGGAAGAGGGAAGTAAGGAAAGGAAAGGGGATTTGAAAGAGTGGAAGAAAAAAATGGAGATAGAGCTTTTGCAGATGGGAATAGGAACTGAGAGTTGGAGCGAGCAGGGAGGGATAGAAGTGAAGCAGATCAAAATGAAACATTTGAGATGTGTCATGTACATGTGCAAATTCCTCACAAGAAATGTCATCATCTGCTTCCAATATGCAGTAATACATTTTGTAATCAGTTAAGAAAATCATGGTCATGGTAAGTGAAAAAAATAGTATCCTTGACTATCAGGATTATACTACCTATACATATCATTTTAATACGATTTCAGAATGGCTAAAATTACAAACTTACACAGTCTGTCGCATTAACCTCAACACCAGCATTAAGAAGCATTCGCACAAGATACTCATTCTGCTTTGTCTTTGATACCTGTAACAGACACCAAGTACAAGAGAGGTTATTTTACACATGCTCCGTGTATGTCCATGGCTTTTCAATCAGTAGGATTTATATTAATCCCCAAGCTGCTAGATATCTGTGAATCCTTGGTAAAATTTCCCCACCTTCTCCCTCCCTGCAGTATCAATCAAAGATAGTTTTCTGGGTGTGCACCCGGGGTAGCAGCCTGTGAATCCAGGGATTTGTTTGAAATGCATATTTTACAGCAGACCTGTCACATCCTACTGAGAATGTGACCCAGCTCCTGTCTTTCCCTTTCTTTCTTTCTTTTTTTTTTCTTTTGAGTTTATTGGTACATTTTAGATATACAGTACAGTCACATTTATCATTGGGATCTTGTACCTTTACATGACAGGTCTTGGTTCTCATTTTTTCCCCTTGTCCCTGCCCTCCCTTCACCTCTTCCTCCCCTCCCCATTTACAAACACTTTATTTCCATTTTTTTGTTTTCTCATATTTTTTCTTTCCTTATTACCTTTCCCCTACCCTTCCCACTTTCCCTAAAACTTTAGTCCTTTTCTTCCTATTTCACTTTGTCCATTATATCATTAGGATCATATGTACTATTATAGTTTTTCACACCAGAAAAACTATTCGGTATTTACACGTGTGACTTATTTAATTCACTTAGGAGTATATCCTCAATATGTATCCATCTTCCTATGAATGAATCTAATTTCTCATTCTTTATGGCTGAGCAGTATTCCATTTTATAGAAAAACCACATCTTTATCCAGTTTCCCACTGATGAGCAAATGGGCTGTTTCCAAATTTTAGCTATTACAAACTGTGCCATTTCCCTTTCTTACTCAAAACTCTTTGGAACTTCCCATTGCTCTGAGAATAAATCTACACTCTTCAGCATGGCAGTTCTAGAGCAAACAACCCTAGCCTTCTCTCATCTCCTGATTCCCCTTGCTTAAATTGCAGTGGATTTTTTTTTTTTTTTGAGGTGGGGTACTAGGGATTGAACTCAGGTCCTTGTGCTTATGAGGCAGGTGAAAGAACCACTGAGCTAAATCCCCTGCCCTGCCCTGGATCTTTTGTTAAGTCTTCTGTTCTCACCGGGCTCCTGTCTGCTGGAAAATCAATGCATAGAGTGTTTCTTCTACCTGGAATCTTCCTCTCTACTTCATTTGCCTGCAAATTCATCTTTCATACTCACCCCAGCCTTTCTTACTCAGAGAGGCATTGCCAGGCCTACCTGACCAGGTGAAATCCTTTCCGTCTAGGCTGTCTTAATACCCATCACTTCTGTGCCACCTGCTTCACAATGTTTTCACATGTGTTTATACCATTAGATTAATAACTTCTCATCGATTTCTGCTCGTATGAGGACAAGGACTGTGCTTGTGTATTCATTATTGTATCCCTAACAAGGATATGGTGTCTGGTCCATGATAAACATATGGTGGTGACGTACTGAAGAAATGAATAAAAGTAACCAGGTCTCCTCAGAAATCCATTTTCCTTTTCTACTCAGGTTCTGACTATGTGACAACTGGAAACTTGTCCCAGCAGCAGGACCCTGAGGAAGAAGAGGTCTCCCTGCTCACAGTCACAGCACTAGAGGTCAGCCCCTTCAGTACCTGAATCTTCTGGTACCTCACTCCTGTCACCTGCTAACCTACCTTTCTCCTCCTCTGAAGTGTCTCAGCCCTTTCTGGTCCTCTCCTCTGCAATGTCCTCTCAGGTAGCTTATTTCTTTTACACCACAAATTTATAGTTTTAGGTTCCATTGATAAATAGTGTATTTATCCTGTTAGAGCCAGGCTATTTATCACCATCATTATTTTTGTTTAGACCTCCAGCTTTTAAACATTGGACCTTGGAAAACAGAGTTGTGTCAACAAACTCTAAATGAACCTTGCTAATCACAGCTGTGATGCTTTATCTTCAGAGCCTCTAAAAAGATTTGTAAATGAATGACAGTTTTCTCCTGCCCCCCCAATTAAAAATATTCAAATAATCTTATGATAAATGCACAATGAATTTTTCAAGAAGTTTTCTGGGATATAAAGAGATTACGTGTTTATTACTGAAGTAAAGTTTTCTTACTCTTTTCCACAAATTCAAACATCCTCATTTTATTTAACATTTAATCACCTAAGGAGATAACAACATTTTAAAATTTGCAGATTTTGTACAGAAACATTTTAATGAGGGTAGCGACGGGTCACCCTATTTGAAAAAAAAAATTCCTCAAGCTTCAACTTCTATTTATAATGTTTTCATTCCTACACCAGCTACCTATTTATTTATTCAAGAAAAAAAAGAGCCTGCCCAAGATCCATTCAAGCATGATTCCATCCATAAAAATGAAAGATGGCTTCAAATCCACCATTAATATCTTCTGTGTTTGTCAGTTTCTTGAGATCTATTTCCTAATTCATATCAAGTTGGGCTCTTAAACACTGAAGACTCAGAGAATGTACCAAAACATAAACTCTTCTTATAAAAGAAAGAGAAAAATTAGCAGAAAGAGGATTTTTAAAAAATGTTTAGGATTTTTGTGCTTCCTTTCAATGATTCCTAATTAAGTTTAAATTATTTTTTCAAATAATTATTCAAACATTACCTAACCATTGGTTACCTACTTTTACTACCTTCCTTCCTACTTTAGTCATAGCTTGATGTGCACTGGAAATGTCACTTAACAGAATACAGATGGTCCCCAAGGTTCAATTGTCCAATTCTGCCGTTTTGAAGATTTTCAACTTTATGATGGTGGAACTATATTTTGAATTTTGAATTTTGATCTTTTCCTGAGCTAGTTATACATAGTAAGATACCTGTGTGTGATGCTGGGCAGTGTCAGCCATGTGATCAGTAGGGTCTAATATTCTACAGTATGCTGTGTTGCTAAGCTACAATGCTGAGTACATTAGGTATAATAAACGTATTTTCAGCTTATGATAGGTTTATTGGGATATAACCCTATCATAAATTCAGGAGCACCTGTACAAACCAAGGGCTTATTTTGTTACATTTCTTTACAGCATCTCACCAGCCTAGCAAAACTCTAGGAGTCGTGCCATGGCTCTTGTAGGAAGAGCCCTTTGCCCTAACTGGTGGACTTACCATGAGAAAATACCCAATGAGCAGGACAGGCATTAAGAGGACGATGAGTAGATAATCAAAGAAGGTAAATCTCTTCTTCACAGCATAATGCAAGCAGGTTCTCCCTTTCTACAAAATAAGAAAATAATTTTCATTTCAGATTTTACATTTTCAGATTACCATGTCAAAAAGTTCAGGTCATGCTTTTTGTCATTAGGGTTCTCGTAACACCTTTTCTGTGGGATGTGTCTGATTAATAAACTCAGATTTCCATGGAGCAAACTACAGAACAGTTCAGTATAAAGGAAAAGTTTGGGTGGGAGGATCAGTAATAAACAGCGGAGGTGAATGTACACTGTAGAAATCATCAAAGGATGGATTGGTTCTCACTCACTTTAGTTTCTGAGAAAACTGATATATAGAGATACAGTGGCCCCTTGACTTATGAACTCATTGGTTCCTGAGGGCTGGTTGTAACTCAAGTTGGTTGTAAGTCAATACAGGTAAGATCTGGATGTCGACCTGGGTACATACTATAGATGACATGAGGCCAATGAATCTTTCATTAATCTAATTAACCAAGTTGTTTATATGTCAGGATGATTGTAACTTGAGGGTGCACTGTACAAACACAGGACTGAAATTATATGCAAACTACTGTTATCCCTTTATAAACTATAGTGAACAATTATCTATTTTGTGGTTTGTTCGTAGGAAAATTTCAATCACATGGAAATTTTTCCATGTTCTGTATGCAAGTAATTTAATTCTTCAAATACATTGATTTAAGCTTTGATGGGTAGGAGGGAAAGTGAACCCTCAGGACCTCATAACGAATGGTGGCCAAAAACATGGAAACATGTAATGCAAAACAAGACCATAAAAAGAAAACAGAGAAAGAGAAAGGAGAGGAGAGTTTCAACTTGGGGGAGCCACTAAGAACTCTTACCTGTTTTTCTAAATATCAGGCATTTGTATTATCTACAAACATCTTGGAAATTAAACAATAATATGATAGAAATTTAAATTACCCATCAAATAGTCCACAGTTAATATTTACATTTTACTGTATTGTACTGTATTTCTTCAGGTCTGTTTAAATGCATGTATGTGGAATTTTAAAATATTGGATCATATGGCACATTCCAGATCATATTGCCTCTTTAGTGTACAAATGCACATTTAGAATCTGGGCACTTTCCATGCCATTCAATATTGTTAAGTGTAAAATTGTAATGGTTGCATTGCTTTCTATTTAATAGAGTTACTCTATTCAGCTAATGGCTATCTATAGGACATTTCAAGTTTTTAATTTATAATTTTTGTAAATAATATTGCCGGAACATCCTCATTCACAGAGCTTTGTCAACAATTCTGTTTGTCCTTTGCTTGCGTTTCTAAAAATGGAATTCCTGATGTGACAGTATTAACACTTTTCAGCTTGTGCTGCCAAATTGTGCTCCAGTAAGATGATAACAATGTAAGCCCACTTCTTAATCAGAATTTAATTTTCTTTAATTAGTTAATTGACAGACAAAAAGAAACATTTGTTTCCATTTTAATTCATTAACTTTACATAGTATCAATATTTTCTATAGGCATGTGCTGCCTGCTGCAAATCACCAGCAGAACTCTTTGCTTGTTTGTCTGTAAGGTTTTTTGTTTGCTTAGTACTTCTGAAAATAATTCATAAACAGATTTAAGAAATGTGAAAAAACTCAGGTTATTCATCTATGAAGACTATTTGGGAAAAATCTAAAAATATGAAACATTAAAGCACCATTAGAGACATTGAAGAAGTAGAAAATGCAAACAAAAACACTTCTATAAAATCTCTATTAGTCTAAATTTAAGGTACATCCTAAAGTCCTTTTTATGGTTTTATGATACCAGAGGATCCAACAGGTGACCTCAAATTGTCTTCTGCAAAACAGAGGTGAATTGCTCTTCAGGCTGGCTTTGGGCTGTCAAATGTCTCCTCTCAGCTTTCTAATGAGCATGCTCTGGAAAACGAACGAGAACTCATGGATGTCTGACCTCCAGCAGGGTAGGGAGATCCTGACACTCTACTAAGCAGCTCACCTGTTAGCTTCACAACAGGCATGATTTGCTTATAAACTCATCTAGGGGTGGAACTGTTGCTCATACTATAGAGTGCTTGACCAGGATAGGTGAGACTCTGAGTTTGATCTCCAGCACCACAAACAAACAAATAAAAATTCACTCACACAAAAAATAGTAAGCACAGGCAAGAAAGTGAGTAGTGATTGATAATACGTTATAACTCCCAATGATCTGGTCTTTAACATGGTTTGGGGTGGCAAGTGGGGCCCTACCAGGTATTTTGCTCATTGAATGCACTTGAGTAAGTATAGGACGTCCATAACTATTGAAAAAGTGACTTTGAACATTTATTAAGTATAATTTAAATTCTGCCTTTATTATAATGCAGATGTTGGATGTTCAGAAAAATTCTTCAAGGATGCTCACAGCAAGACACACATATGCTGCTCTGCCTTGGTTCTGAAGATGCCAAACTAGCTAATATTGCATCTTACAACACATTCTCCATGCCTATTTGTATGGCCTCAAGCCTTTGGCTTATGAGCATATATGAGCAGTTTCTCAGAACGTTCCTTCATACTACATGAACATAGGAACTCCTTCAGATCAGGCCATTAGCATAATAGATCACACAGTCAATATTTCTTTAGCAAGAAATGTTCCCATTACTTCTGCAATAGTGAGAAGGGGAAAGAGAAAGAAGGGGAAAGGATGGGAAGTAAGAGGAAGAAAGGAGGAACCTCTAACCAGCCGAGGGAGTAAACCATTCTCCTTCTCTTCTGAAGTACAAAGTCAAAATCAATCATGTCTGTTTGTTGAACTACGTTTTTTTTTGTTTTTTTTTTTTTTTTTTTTTTTTTTTTTTTTGCTTTTCAGCATAGTAAAATATCTTTGGCATGCACCAGTCCCTCCAAAGTCATACTAAAAAGCAAAAAAGAATTGTAGGTACTAGGAGCTATGATGAAGAAGTGATATTCACCACTTCCACCAACTGGAGGAGAGCAAATAATAACTGAGCTCTCCATTCATGTGTTACAGCCTCACCTGGTTTTTGAGGTTGACGTTAGCATTCCTTTTTAAAAGGAAGGAAGCAATTTTCACATGCCCTCGCCTGCAAGCACAGATGAGAGGAGTGTCTCCATTGAAGCCATCCTGAATGTTGACATAGTGGTTGTCTTCTCTTACCCACCGCCACACTTGACCCAAGTCATTCTGGTAGGCTGCCTGGCAGATGGGCTGAGTGGAGAAAAACAGATACAGTTCTTGAAATACAAGCATAAGCAAACCAAAATTATGAAGAGGAGAAGGAAAAGGAGGGGGGAAGAGAGAGGAAAAGGAGGAGGAGGACAAAAGAGAAGAAGAGAAAAAGGAGGAGCAGATCAAGAGGAAGAGGAAGGAGAAGGAGAAGAAATCATTGCTCAGTTTCCAAATTGCAATATATTGCTTAGATATTGGGTCTCAGCTATGAATGACCTTCAAATTAGAAGAGCATAAGTCCACGAAGAACATTTACACTTTCTTAAATTGTTTGGCACCCAGAACAGACAAATAGTGAGTAGACAAATGTATGAAATACTACAAATCTGACTTAGTAAGGAAATTGTGTACTGTGACTGCAAATGAGTGGGCAGCCAGAGTATCAGGAGATTACTAAAGCTAAATGGGCATGCCAGAGCAGCACGAGGTAATAGAACGAGACCTGCATAACTCCAAGGACTTGGCCAAGTTGAAAAGACAGGTATTAAACAAATAATAAAAATAAAATCATTTAATTGTTATGATTTATATCTAAAATGTGCACCTAAAAGTTTCATGTATCCAGAAGTGGGCTTTTGGAAGGTAACTGGATCACAGGGGCCCTATATTCAACAGTGGGTGAATCCATTGATGAGTTCATAGCTGAGTGTGCTATGAAAAAGTAGGGCCTGGTCAGAAGACAGAGCAAGTGGTCTGAAAGGGCTTTCTCTCCTCCCCAGCTCCTTCCTCTAGGTCTGCTCCCCGGCTGCTATGAGCTGAGGCGCCATGAACACCTTTCCTCTGCCATGTGAAATGTATCCATCTATTGGGGAAATAGGACACAGACACACATACACACCGGAGAAACAACCAAAACTGTCTGCATGTGTGCAATTCTGGGGATTGAACCCATGGCCTCATGTTCTATCACTTTATGCTAAACACATGCTCTGTCACTGACCTACGTCCCCAGTCCCTAAGAAAAGGGTTTTAAAGTGTGGGTGGGTACATAAGACCTGCAGAAGCTGGGACAGATCAGTAACAAAGTCATGTGGGTGTATTTGCTGACCAACTGAGGTTCTAACATTGCCAAGTCTTACAATTTGTCACCTGTAAATACTTTTCTTGTGGCAGCACTGAGAATCAAACCTAGGGCCCCATACACTTCAGACAAGTGCTTTATCACTGAGCAATATACTTTTATACTCAAAGGCTTTCTCGTGAAAGAAACATCCACCCCAAAAAATCAACTCATAACAATTAGAATGAAGTCTCCGTCCCCAAATGAAAAACATCATACGAGTTGCACATTTTAATAAAAATGCACACTTACAAACTACCTATTCAATGTCACCAAAGTTTTCCCTTTATTAGACTTACCATCATTTGGGCATAGAAGTGTGTCAGTGTACTTACTGCCTGACTGACATGGGAAGGACTGGAACAGCTGAAAAAAGTTATCTGGTGTTGAAAAAGCGGGCTATAACTTAGCTGTTGCTTACTCCCTGGACAACTGCGGACAATTCACTTCCTCTCTGGTGTGTTTCAGTGCCCTCGATCATGAAATAAAGAAGTGAGAAGAAAGTTCCTTTGAACTTTCACAATCTGTGACTTCTGGGACTTTGATCTTAACCAATACATCTCCCATGCCACAAACATTGCTGAAATACTTGAGGTGAATTTCTGTTGTCTTAGTAGTGATGTCCTGTCCTTCGATTGTGACAACAGTAAAATAAGACTAAATACAACAAAATGATGTAAAAATAACCAGCTCTCAACCTCCCAATCAAATGCATTAAAATCAATATTATAATTCACAAAAGATATTTTAACATAAATATAAAAATAAGTGCAGATTACTCAGTATGGATTGCTTGCTTAGCATTTGTGAGGCTTGGGTTCATTTCCCAGCACTATAAAACATTTTTAAAATAAAACAAGAATATTTAACAAGAATATTTAACATATATATATATACACACACACATACACACACACACACACACACACACACACACACATAAAAATGATAGGAGGAAAAAGCAGTCCTGTACATTGGATAGACTTGGCTGTATGAAGAAAAGAAAAAAGTTTTGTTGTTGTTGAGATGGAATCTTACTCTGCTGCCTGGGCTGGTTTTAAACTCCTGAGCTTGTGATTCTCCTCCTTAGTCTCAAGAGTATCTGGGACTGCAGGCATGAGGCATCATTCCTGGGCGTCCTTTTAAATTTCACAGTAAATCAATAAAAATTAATTATAGGAACTGATAGTCTATCATGAAGAGTTGGAAAGCAGATATTCTTGGAGTTATTTTTCTTTTTTTCAAAGTTTTAAATTAGAACATTTGAAAAAACAAATACTTATGTGTTAGTTCAACTTTCCACCACCCTCTCTTTAAAAATTTTGTAGACTTGATAACATTAGGTCCCCATTCCCATGGGACACCAAATAACTGGGGCTTGGTGTCAGTGACTCCAATTCCCGCCACTCCCTATTACCTTACATCTGGCCCACTGCAGCTATCTGCGCTGCCTGCCTGGCCCCTGACCTCCAAGATTAGGGTCTTCCTTTTGGGATCCTTGAAATCTTTGCTGAAACTTCACTAAAAACAGGAAGAGTTGTTCCAAGAGAAGTAATAGGTGCTTTTGAGCGTTTTGTCAATCCCACTTGTACAGTATTCATTAAAGCGTTAACCTGATCTTATCTTTAGACTCTCCTAGGCTTCCAGTGTCCTAGGCGCAAAGTTTCTGGTTTTGAAAAGCCAAATGTTAGTGGCTGGGGTTAGCTCAGTGACAGAGCACAAACTTAGTGTGCACAAGGTCCTGGGTTCCATCTCCAGCACCAATCAATCAATCAATCAATCGATAGGTCAGTCTCACTGGCTCATTTGAGAAAAGCAATTTGATATATGAGTTGCTCCAAGAGCTGGAGACTATTGTTGTTTTGAGCTCTCAATTTCCAGTAGGGGGCACCACAGTGTTAGGAAAGTAACGAAAGGGAAGAAGACAGGGAAGTCCCATTGTGAAGTGGCCAAACTATAGCCCAGTAGAACGACTCCAGTCTGCAACAGTGAGAATTTTTGGATTGTTGATTATATACAGCAATTTGTTAGATATTTTATAAGAATTGGAAAAGAAGAGCTCAAGATTCCCAACACAAAAGATAAATACTGAAAGAGATGGAAATGTTAATTATTTTGATTTGGTCATTACAAATGATATATGTTATTAAATTACCACACTGTATGTTCCCCAAAATTTATGCAATTATTATGCCGGTTAAAAATAAATAAATAAAAGGAAAAGGAAAAGGATGGCGGAGAGAGTAGACATGAACAAAAAAAGAGGGGTTGTCTATTTAGGCTGAAGGAAGAGTTGCACGTGCTTTTTAGTCCGAGGAGTTTCCGGAGCTGGGGATACTGTGAGCATAGAAGAAATGCACTTCGGAAACTATCTTGATGACTGGATTCCCCATCAATTTCAATATCAGCCCTCTGCTCTATCCACCTTACTGATGTCCTGGTTTAGGTCCTTTATAGGCCTCACCAAGACTATTGTAACACTAGCTATGCAAGGAATTATCAAAATATATGGTGAATGCTTAAATTTTAAAAATTTATTACAGTAAAAGATACGGTGTCACTAACCCCTCTTCAAAATCCTTTCTCTTGCTTCCAACACATTTATCCCATTGCTCTTGCTATTTTCTGTAACAGTTCCAGAAGTCCTCCTTTGTGGGTAAATTCTGCTACTGAGTGCCATCCAATAGAAGAAGCCAGACTTACAGAAGCAGTAAGATGTGTCCTCATCCACCTACTGAATCTAGCACCACACAATTTGTGACTTTACCCCAAAGTCAACATGAGCATGAAAGGTGAGTATTTTGAATCAATTCAGGACACGAAGGCAACAAGGATAGTGCAACTAAGGGAACCTAAAGAGGTCTTCCAGAACGGTCTCAGAAAGTGGCCAGAACTATGGGATAAGTTTGTTTGCAGGAAGGGGAATATTTTGAGGAGGATTAGTGTCAGTGTGTCTTTTACTGTGATATTTCAGATTCAAACATTCGCTGTATATGTCAGTCACACCTCATAACTGGCCTTATCTCCCCAGTCTCCTTCATCCGGGCTCCAACTCATCCTCGCAATGCAGCAGCTGCATGTCACCTCCTCGCTAAAAACATTCCTCGGTGACCCACTGGATCGGGATGCTGTCCTTATATGGACACACATGATTTTTTAAATCTCACAAAGCCTGTCTTTCCACGGCATCTCCTACAAGTTCCTTATAGTTACCTCGATCTAAGTAAATAAAGATGTGCGTGTTTGCTATAGTTTGAATGTGTCCCCAGAGTTCACGTATTGCTAACTTGATCCCGAAAGCAGTGATATTGAGAATTAGGCTAACGGGAGGTATCTGGATGATAAGGACCCTGTTGCCATGAATGGGTTCACGCTGTATCTCAGGAGTGGGTCAGTTGTGGCAGGACTGGGTTCCTGATAAAAGGATGAATTGGGCCCTCTCTTGCTCTTTCTCTCCACTTCCTCTCCAGTATGGAATGATCAGCAGAAAGGCCCGACTAGCCAGATGCTGCTCCTCATCTTGAACTTCTTACCTCTATAAGGATGAGCCAATAAAATTCTACTCATCATAATTTACCCAGGCTGTGATATTCTGTCATGACACACAACGGACTAAGACAGGAAAATAACAGCCTTTTCTCCAGACTGTCAGCTAAATAAGGGCGGATATTATGTCTGTGCCTATTCATCATTATGTCCCTAGAATCCAGCACAGTGTTCGGCACAAAAGAGGCAGTTGAGATTTGATAGATAGATAGAGAGATAGAGAGAGAGAGAGATAGATAGATAGATAGTAAATAAGTGAATGAATAAATTGTAAGATGGACCAACATTTATTGAGTACTTCAGTTATTTCACTTAACCCTCTTGACCACCTTAGAATTATATCGATTTTGCACCCATTTTGCCCAAAGTCACA